CAGAACTTTGATGGAAGTGTAATTGTTTGCAATAATGTGATGGCAGTTTCCAAAATGTGCCTGTGTTTCCTTTCTGCCAATCCATTTTGCTCTGGAGTATATGGGCAAGATTTTTGATGCAAAATGCCTTTAGTTGCTAGAAAGTGTTGAAATTGATGACTTGTATATTCACCACCACCATCACTTTGGAAGGTTCTAATATGGGCAGAAAATTGGGTACTTAAGAATGCCTGAAACTTAACAAAGATTTGAAATACTTCTACTTTATTTCTCAATGGAAAAATCCATGTGTATCGATTACATTCATCAACAAAACTAGCATAATACCTATACCCTTCAAAATACAACACAGGGGTAGGTCCCCATACATCACTATGAATCACCTCTAATGGGGTTACAGACTTATTTGCATGAAAAGAAAAAGACAATTTTGTAAATTTGCCTTTGAAACAAGGAGTACAAATGGTTTGACAAGTATCTATGAATGTAGAAGCTTTGGTGTGTTGCAACATTGCAGAAGTGATTGTATTTGAGGGATGCCCTAAGCGTTGATGCCATAAGCTTGTAGTAACTGGTTTGGCTAGATAGCATGCATGTAATGTGGATGATGCAAGTGGTTTCTTCTGTGGAGATTTAAACAGAATGGGGTAATAGCCAGCTTTACACAGTCCATTGAGTAGGATTTTCCATGTGATTTTGTCCTGAACCCAAAAGGAAATATCATCACGTATGAATCTACATTTGTTATCCTTACATAGTTGATATATGGATAATAAGTGTTGTGAAAGTTTAGGAACATGCAACACATTTTTCAATGTAAAGATATGGCTAGAAGCTTGCAGTGTAGATGTACCAATATTGGAAATTGTCAAACCTGCACCACTTGCAGTGGTTATTGTATCTGTGCCTTGATAATGAGTAGCCAAATCAAAATTTACAAGCTCTGAAGTTATATGAGATGTGGCACCAGTATCCGCAACCCAAAACTGTTCAGGTGATGCAAAAGGATTGTAACTTGCTTGCATCACAGTAAGATTAACTGAGGGTGGTCTTCCTTGGTATGCAAAGTTGTTTATGTGATAGCATTGAGTAGCAGAGTGCCCAAACTTCCAACAGATTTGACATTGAATAGCTGTTTCATGTCCAACAGTTGGTATATTATGCCTTTGAAAGCAATCTGCAGCCACATGACCTTTTTTGTTGTAGATTTGACAAGTATGAATCGCATTTGGATGATCAGGACAAGTGTGTTGAAAAACTTTTGGGGCTCCAGGAATTCTAGAACTAAAATTGTATGGTGGAGAGTGAAATCTGGGACCATTGTTATACTGAAACCTGCCTCTTCCTTTTCCCCTATAATGTGTCCCCTTGTATCCCCCAGAAGATAAAGAATTACCATTAAAATTTCCAGAGCCATTTGGAGAAGATGACCCTTGTCCAGAGTTATATCCATTAGAAGTAGATCCTCCATTGAGATTGTAGCCTTGGCTCGAAGACCCTATGTCAAATCCCTAAGACTGAGAGGAATTGTGATCAAGACTAAGAGCTTTTCCTTTTTCAGATTGAGTGCTTACAACCATTGTAGTTCCAAAAGACATAGAAGATTCACAAGACTGTCCAATTATAGCTTCTTCAGCAAGAAGTTGTGATCGAAATTCTTTCAGGGAAATCCCATTTTCTTTTCCTTTAATAACACACCGAAATGTATTATAATCAGCAGACAACCCTTTTAGAGTAAGGATGATTATATCATCATCGTCAAACAGAACACCGGCTGCAGCAAGATGGTCTCTGGCATCTTTGATCTTTTGTAGATAGACAAATATTGAATCAGACCCTTTTTTTATGTTCATCTAAAAAATTGTAGCCTTTGTAACTATAGGGAACCGTTCTTTGAGATTTGTCCACATTGCATGAGAACTGGTACTACCAAGAACACACGAAATCGCAGTAGATGACAATGTAGCTATGAGAAGCAGCATAAGAGCACGATCATGCATTTTCCAAACCTGATAGGCATCTGTTTCAACTCCTTCAAGATTCGCCTCATCATGAAACCGTGGTGGACATTGCTTGGACCCATTAACAAAACCAAGTATTCCATGACTGTCGAGCAGAAGATTGATCTGAAAACTCCATACAAGATAGTTTGAGTCATCCAATTTGACTGTAACAGAAGACAACACATTAGAGATGAGACTTGTAATGGGCAATTGCACAATATACAATTGAGCTGCGGTAACCATTGTTGTAACAGCAAGAAAGTTCTTCACTTCGAACTTTTATCGAACAATGGGCAACTGTGTAGGAGTCGAGTATCTTGAGAACTGGGATTTTGATGAACCCAGAAATCACACAGAATCAACAAATCACAAGGTTGAGAGAAAAAAATATATGTATCAGATAGTATACGGAAGGTTTGGATTCACCTATGGCGATGATACCATGTAAGAACTGCAGAAATCTTGAAGAAAAGATACAAAACGCAAAAGAAAGGGGAGGGAATTAGAGAGAGAGAATTAGGCTTAGAAAGATAGAGGAATGATTTTGTTATTTCAGTATGTTTTTCACTATTTACAAAAAATGTTATATCTTGTTACAAAGCTTTCTCGCTAAGCTAATAACTAATTGCCTAACTACCTTATAACAGACTATGTAATCTCTTGACAAGTGTCATTCATTTCTGCCATAGATTTATCTGTCACTTGGATGTTGGTTTTCTTCACTTCACTACTCTTACAAACGTCATCCAGATAATAAAGCTCATCTCCCTTAAAGCCACACTATGATCTCATTTCTTTGAATATCATGAAGCAAGCAAAATAAAGGATAAATTGATAGAACACAGTTCAATTGTTTAGTAACTTGTGGTACGAGAATAGATGATGGGACAATGACGCAACTAATAAACAATGGTGTAAAGAAAGAACGATGTAAGACATAATGTTCCTGCTCGAATAACAAGAACAGTAGTACCATTAACAGTTGCTATACACTTTCTGCAAGGAGGTGTCATATATTGAAACATATTCTTATCATAGGCCATATGATAACGCTAGGCACTAGTTAGGCGGCACGCTGGCGCCTAGGCGAGGTCTAGGCTAGTGCTTAGGCGACCTAGGCGGATTTAGGTAAATTTCTTATATATCTTGTAAATAAGTGCATATTGACACCTACAAAAAATTATATTTGTATGAAATTCATGGATAAAATAATAAAAGAATGATAAAATGCAAAAAGAGTATCCAACAAGTCCAAAATTTAAAAACACATTAAGCATATATGCCATATAACCATAACGAGGAGTATTGTAGGATGATACATGTACAATAAGTTCACAATTTAAAACCACATAAAATGAAAAATAGGAGGAAAATAAGGAAATATGGTAATGTAGATAGGATTTTTTTTATTTAAAAAAGAAAAAAAAAAAAAAAAAAAAAAAAAAAACTGCCTAGCCATCTAAAGCCCAGCCGATTTTTCCAACCGATTTGCAAGAAAACGCCTTAGACCACAACCGCCCAACGCCTAAGCCGTTGTTTAGAACACTGCTCGAAGCCCATATCCAACTTGTGTTACGATCGGTGTCCGAGGCTAAGAATGCTAATTGTGCCTGATTGGCACGAGTCAACAGCGGCTGACTAGAATCAGTAGGAGTGGCTTCGGCTCCCTTAGTGCTACTTGTATTGGCAGCTGCTACACTAACACGTTCACCCTCATTATTTCCATGCACCTTAGCTCACAACTACTTCGTAAGCTCCGGAAACGATCGGGTACTCCATGTTTTAAGAAACATGTATCCTCAGTATGATGATTTTCTCCACAATAGGTACATTTCAAATCATCCTTGTTCTCCCGAGAGAACACACGAGGATTCAAATGAGGATAATTCGATCGATCCATTCAACTTTACTCCACTCGGCACAACTAAGGTATAACTTTGGATCATAACCGAGTTCAACATAGGGTTTGTACGTTGAACCTAAGATCCCTCGTTTCAGCTTTTGCTCAGAACTCGCATCTCCTTTGTTCACCATCTTGATGACGGTAATTAGCAGCAACGGCAGCACATGCACGGCGATGTGCTAGGGTTACAACAAGGAAACAAAATTTAAGGTTTGTATACGAACTCCGCTCCCGATACCAAATTGAAATATTTTGGTAGCATACTTCGATGATATCACTATTCGTTTAAGGTTACAATATATATAGGCACACGTGCCTTGTCTCACAAGGAAAATAATTAAAAATATTACAATAAAAAAAAAAAAAAAAACAAATTCTATTACTAGACTCCTAGAATATTTACAATTCATGACAACTTATGACTCAGGCCAACAATTTACTTATATAGCACGTACGTGAGATATTTTTCAACTCTATATGTTTTGAAGGTTAGAGTTTTCTTCAAAATTTTCTATTTGTTGCCCCTATATCAACTTGATCACCATTCATAATAGTCGCACAATACAATAAGCTGCAGAATAGACAAGCCATATCACAATTATTGTTACTCCATACATTATGGGTGCAAAGTATAATTACCATGCAATTATGGTTTGTTTAAAGAAATAAAACATCACAAGGTTTATATTTGAAAAATATTTCTTTAATCAACTCATACTTTAACTATGTTCTTTCACTTTATTTCAGGCTACTAGCCATTTGATTTACACTTTTATTCTCATAGTTTTTGTACTTGCACCTTTTTTTCTCCATTTATTTAATTGGCCCATATTATATTCATGAGATGAATTATGTGGGTTAGTAATCTATGTTCTAAATATAGTAATTATCCAGATTGAACAGCTAAAGCTTACCTGTACCTTATTTCTAAAGACTCAGTCAAACAATCTGGCATTGAGTTTAATCCCATAATTAGTATTTTCTGTTTATCCTCCAAAAGTGATGGAACTTTCTTCACGTGTCCTCCATATATACCAAGCAATTCACCTTCTCCACTCATTGACCAATTTAATTTTGGACCTGTAACCTCAACTTTTGCCAACTACAAGAAAAGCTGAGAGGTGGTGGAAAAATATCCGAGAGTTCAATCTCGAAATTCCAACCAATTTAGAGATTGAACTTTCATGATTTCTTGTTGAACGTTCATTACATCTTGTTGCAATCTTTCTTTTTGTCCCAGCTATTAAACCATCTTTTTCTGTTGATCGGAATATTTGGGACAGACGAGAAAAATGTCGTTCAGCGGAACCCAACAGAAATGCAAGGCTTGTGATAAGACCGTTCATTTCATTGACCAGTTATCTGCTGATGGTATTGCCTACCATAAGACCTGCTTCAAATGCAGTCATTGCAATGGACAACTTTCGGTAGGTTTGCATGCAATGACAATTTACGTACTGCTTTCATTATTTTTACAATTTAGCGGATAATATTCTATTCCTATATCGTAGATTGTGACTAAACCCTTGATTATATATTATAAGATTGTTGAAATTTTGTTTGAACCTGTAGTTTATATATTCACAATCTTATAACTGGTACAAGAAACACTAATAACTTGGAGGCTGAAAATAAAATTAGGGTGCATCTTTTGTGCGATTTAATGAATCATAGTCATAAATCTAATAGCATTTACAATCACAAGAGGCTAACAGATAAGTTGATCTTATTCACTTTTATACCTGAGGTCTCAAGTTTGGTTCACCCATTCCTTAATATCACATGTATAACAAAAAACAGAAACAATTACAATCATCTTCTTGTATGAGATTTTGGCTTTTAATTTAGATTGGCTCTCTAAATATAGTTAGCCACCTAGTAGGTTAGATGCACCCAAATACGTATATACTAACATATTGAAAAAGCACCCATTTACGTGTATATATATTAACATACTGAAAGAAGTTGAGGACATTAACAAAGAAATAAACAAGAAATGGATGGAGGATGAAGCGGCTGTTTTTGTGCTTTTATAGATGAGTAGTTATTCATCCATGGATGGAGTTTTATACTGCAAGCCTCATTTTGAGCAACTCTTCAAGGAGACTGGAAGCTTTTCTAAGAAATTTCAGACGTGTAAGATCCCTTTTCCCATTGCAATTCTCTTGGTACACAAATCTTTAACTAATTTTTTTTTTTTTTTTATTGATTTTTTCAAGTTTTGATGAGCTAAAACTGTTTTGTTCAATCTTGTTTGATGCAGCTGGAAAGTCACAAAATGAACTGGTACACATCCTATTCCTAATACATTATATTTTATATATGCTCAATGTTTTTTGTTTTTATTTTTATGTATGTGCGGTAAAACTTACACATTCTTTATATATGTAGACTAGGACCCCTAGCAAATTGTCCTCCATGTTCTCTGGGACCGTAGACAAATGTGCTGTATGCAACAAAACTGTGTATCCACTAGAGAAGGTTTGAATCCTACATATCTCAATTCAAAATTTTGCACTTCAAATTAATATTATATATTATTTTACAAACTCACGAAAATAGTACAGGATAACAAACTGAGTGAATAATATTTCTACTATATCTTGATGCGATAATATTTTTTGTGGTTGGCTTGAGGTTTGGTAAATTCCAGGAATTTTTTGTGACAGGTTACCATGGAGGGAGATTTTTACCACAAATCATGCTTTAGGTGTAACCATGGGGGTTGCTTCCTCTCACCATCAAACTGTGCTGCTCTGGATGGCATTCTATACTGCAAGCACCACTTTGCCCAACTGTTCAAGGAGAAGGGCAGCTATAGCCACCTTACCAAGACTGCTTCACTAAAGAAAAATGGAGCTACATTGCCGGAACCAAAACCTGAGGAATCGCAACCAGAACCAGCAGAAGAAACAGAAGCAAAACCAGAAACAGAAGTAGCACAAGAGACGCAAGATTCAGCCCCACAAGAGCAATCATGAAAATGTACACCAGCCAATGACATGTTCCATTAAGCTTGTGGTTTTGGGATTTTTAAAAGCAGGTCCAGAGGGATTCGATAACTGTGCCATTTTCAATCTTTTTCATCAAATGCCTGCTGAAGGGAAACATATAGATTAAGCTTTTCTTTGTAGAAAAGAGCATTTGAATTAATGTCTAATGAAATTGTAAAGCATGTTCAATTGTGAATTTCAATACATTTAAACTGAATGAAACTTAATTCTGTCCGACAAATGCAAACGGTAAATTGTATCATGCGTTGGAGTGAGTGATCAAAACTTGAAATAGACATGGTGGGTACATGTAGACCTGATATTCGTGTTGTGTTTTTCGTGTTTGTGTTGTTTTCGTGACATACTCGATATATTAATGGGTCGTGTCCTGTAACACCCATTAAAGTAAACAGATATTATGACTTGACCCGAAATCGACCCTTTAATATTACCAGGTAATATGACCCGACCCGTTATCTATTAAAGAAAATATATTTTAAATGAAAATAAAAAACATAATTTGACCCAACAAAAAATGGAAAACATATTACTAAATTAGTATATGCATACCACGTGGTCACATAAATATTACTTCTAAACATAAAAAGAACATTTATCCTTAAGTATTACATACTCCGAAATAAGAGACTAATGAAAAAACATTAGTACATTACTACAAAATACCAAATGTTCAAGGATATGCAAAATGGAGGGATATGCGTTTCAAGATTGAGGAATCTTGTGCGTTTTTTACAATAAAACCTTCAATTTTCATCAATCACCAAAGAAAATGGTATTAGAACTTTGACTTGATATATTGTTTTCAAGAATTATATTGATGATGTATTCATTAAGACTTTCCACATTAGCACTCTCTTCCACATAAACTAAGTATAAAAAACCAAACATTGTAAACCATTCAAATTTGTTTCGTATTTTTAAATTACTTGATATTTTTATTTATAATGTGTTTGGTATTTTTAAATTACTTGATATTTTTATTTTTACCGTGTTTTATAATTTTTTTTAATCTCACTATTTGCCTATAGTAAACTATGAAAATAAATAAATAAATAAAACTTAAAATTTTAAATTTATATAGAATAATAATACAATAATATATATTAATACAATATACTTTACAATATGGCTATTGAATTTTATGGTTAGTTTTTCTAGTAGTTTAAACAAATGAAAATTGTCAAAATAACTTTTTTCTTAATGTGTCAAAACAGGTTATCCGCGTGTCAGCCTCGTGTAAACCTGTTAAGGACCCGTTATTAACGGGTTCTTATTGTGTGACCCAATAACGACACGATTAGTTATCGTGTTGACTCAAAACCCATTATTTTCGTGTCATTTACGTGTTATGTTATGTAAGAAATTGCCAGGTTTACTTTAAAGTGAAGCAGTTTTTATTGAAAAAAAAAATAATTCCAAACTAGGCCTAACCATGCATCTTTGAATTGGATATTCAAAGGATAATATAATAAAAATACAAGAAATGTTTGATTAAAGGGGCTTTTGGATCTAGGTCCAAAAACATAGGTACTTTTTGGGACTGAGTCCAATTATTCAATTACATATTTTGATATCAATTTTGCCCCTTCAGATAAAAATATTTAAATTCTTTAATTTTTTTATCATTTATTTAGTTTTTAAATTTTGAATATTTAAATACTCAAACTAAAATATTATCTAGTAACCACCTACTATTTATGAAGAAAACAAAACCGATATAATCTGGTAACTACCTACCTATTGTATAGGAAGAAAATTGCTTTATACCTACAAAGCAGATATAATCTACCTGCAAAACAAAAATAAACTACCTATTGTATTGGAAGAAAAATGCTGGGAACCTACATGGCGGAACATAGAAATATAAATATGATATAATATACCTCCATTAAATGAACGAATTTGGAGGGAAGGACACAAAAATATCACCCATGAAAAGAAGTGTGACATCCCACATCGCCCAGGGGAGTGATCCTTATATGTATATTCTCATCTCTACCTAGCACGAAGTCTTTTGGGAGCTCACTGGTTTCGGGTTCCTTAGGAACTCTGAAGTTAAGCAAGTAGCGCGCGAGAGCATTCCCAGGATGGGTGACCCATCGGGAAGTTCTCGTGTGAGTTCCCAAAAATAAAACCATGAGGGCATGGTTGGGGCCCAAAGCGGACAATATCATGCTACAGTGGTGGAACGGGCCCGCGAAATGGTCCCCCCAGGCCGGGATGTGATAGTTTGGTATCAAAGCCTAACCCTGGTCGTGGTGTGCCGATGAGGACGTCGGGCCCCTAAGGGGGATGGATTGTGACATCCCACATCGCCCAGGGGAGTGATCTTTATATGTATATTCCCATCTCTACCTAGCACGAGCCCTTTTGGGAGCTCATTGGCTTCGGGTTCCAAGGGAACTCTGAAGTTAAGCGAGTAGCACGCGAGAGCATTCCCAGGATGGGTGACCCATCGGGAAGTTCTCGTGGGAGTTCCCAAAAACAAAACCATGAGGGTGTGGTTGGGGCTCAAAACGGACAATATCGTGTTACGGTGGTGGAGCAGGCCCGAGAAATGGTCCCCCCGGGCCGAGATGTGACAAGAAAAGACAAAAAAGAGGAGGATTAATAGAGGGAATTGTTTGGAAGAAGGAAAAAATGAGGGATGAAACGGACTGGGGGTTGAGGTGATTATATGGCTATAACTAATCCTACAATTAAGGGATTAGTTAAACGACAAATAATCCCATAATTAAGAAATTTTGTATATTTACAACAATTCGTAAGCCTAAGGGGTAAATATGGTACAAACCACAAATAAGCATACGTGGAATCTCAATTATTGGACCTATTTCTATGAGGTGGACTAAATTCTACTAATGGCTCACAAAATTGGATCTATATCATCCCTTGATTAAATTTGGAAAAAAAAACAAGGTGAAAGATTCATAATTCCAAAATTATCCCTCCTTAATTAAGATTTTAAAACAATCAATATTATTGTGAAAAACAAATCACTAACAGAATAAAACTACTCATAGTGGACAATTTTTTTCCTTTCGTTCTTTAAAATAAAAATATTTAAAACAAAGATAAAATTACAAAGATTGCCACAGGCTCGTGGCAAGAGGTTAACCTTCACATAGGATTAACATATTGATTAGAGCTTGCTCTTACCTTCAAATTTAATTATATAAGATTTGACATCTTATTTAAAGATAGTCTAAGAGCATCTCCAAAGGAGATGTCAAATTTTAAACATAAAATTTGAATTTGACAACCTATGTGGCATTTTGACATATTTCAAAATTTTACCTTCATCCGATATGCAAATTAAATATTATTTTATTACACTATTTTCTTTTCATTTTATTTTATTAAACTATTATTTTATGCCCCTTCTTTCTAGACTTCTCATTTTCTATAATTTCTGCAGATTTGATAAAAAAAAAAATTTTTTTGCAATTTCGATTCCCATTGTTTCTGCCATGGTCTCAACGCCAGAAACCTTTGTCCTCCCCAGCGCTTCCGATAACCTCGTCTCATCCGTCGATGCCACCCACTTCTCCTCCAACCTTTCTCTGTCAACCTTGCCCCAAAATCCTCCTATCTTTATCGTGGAAGCCATGGCAGCACTCCTCCGTCGTCATCGAACTTTTCCGTCATGGAATTCATGGCAGTACAGAAGCCCAAATTTCCCCAAATAATTTCAACCTCCCTCGTAATTTTTCTTCTGGGTGAAATTTCCTTCAGCCAAATTTCCCCAAATAGTTTCGCAGTCAAATTATCAAGTCATGCGATGATTTTCTTTGGGTAAATTGGGTATAAGGGAAGCCACTGACCTTTTCCGTGCATGTTGGGGTCCCAAATTCGGAGACTTTGAGATGGGATTTTGGCGGGAAAAAGGTAGTGTGCTGCGAAGAAAGAGCAGAGGGTAGTGTGCTACGGAGAGAGAGAAAGCGTGCAAAGAGAGTTCCAGATCTGATAAAAAAATTAATAAAAAAATATTTGACACTGCTGTCAAATTTGACAGCAAGGTGGAGAGCTGCCATTCCATATCATGCCACATCAGATTTGGTTTTTCGGTGGGAAATCATTGTTGCTGCCTTTTATAACTATTAATGCTGAGATGCCAAATTGTCCAAATCAGCATTAACAGTCATAAAAGGCAACAACAATGATTTTCAACCGAAAAGCCAAATCTGATGTGGCATGACATGGAATGGCAGCTCTCCCCGTTGCTGTCAAATTGTCAATGCTTTTTTTATTAATTTTTTATCAGATCTGGAACTCTCTTTGCGCTCTCTCTCTCTTTCTCTCTCCACAGCACACTACCCTCTGCTCTTTCTCTTCACAGCACACTACCCTTTTCCCACCAAAATCCCATCTCAAAGTCTCCGAATTTGGGACCCCAACATGCACGGAGAAGGTCAGCAACTTCCCTCATACCCAATTTACCCAAAGAAAATCATCACATGATTTGATAATTTGACTGCAAAACTATTTAGCGAAAGGAAATTTCACCAGAAGAAAAATTACGAAGGAGGTTGAAATTATTTGGGGAAATTTGGGCTTCTGTACTGCCATGACTTCCATGACGAAAAGGTCCGACGATGACGGAGGAGTGCTGCCATGGCTTCCACGATAAAGATAGGAGGATTTTGGGGCGGGGTTGACAGAGAAAGGTTGGAGGAGAAGTGGGTAGCACCGGCAGATGAGACAAGGTTACCGAAAGCATTGGGGAGGACAAAGATTTCTGGCATTGAGACCATGGAAGAAGCAATGGGAATCAAAATTGCAGAAATTTTTTTTTTATCAAATCTGTAGAAATTGCAGAAAATGAGAAGTCTAGAAAGAAGGGGCATAAAATAATAGTTTAATAAAATAAAATGAGAAGAAAATAGGGTAATAAAATAATATGAAGAGTAAAGTTTTGAAATATATCAAATATTGTTAAATTCAAATTTAAAATTTGATATCTCCTTTGCAGATGGTTAAGTAGGCAAGTACCTAGTACTCATGCCAATTTTCAAAGATTCGGATAAACGCCACGTCGCGCTCTCCGGCGGATAATAGAACTTGTTCGTTCGTTCCCCAAAACCTCCAAAGCCTTTCACCCAGTAATCTTTACTATTATCTGAAACTGCATCCATTACCACACTCTAAATTCTGATGAGCTTAGCTGTTCCTTTCTCTCTCTAGAAATGGACGGTTTCTCTCTCTCCCTCACCACCAACACCACCCCTTTCTTTCTCACTCGCACTCGTCTTCTTCCTTCATTTTCTTCCACAACCCAAAATTTCCCTCCGAGGCACAAGAAATGGGTTGTTTTCGGTTCCAGGGAGGAGCCAAAGCTCGACCCTTTGGACCAAATGGAGCTCAAGTTCGGTCGCTTGATCGGCGAGGACCCCAAACTTACGATTGCCAAGGTATCTATGTGTTGTGTTTGCACAACAAACAGTTGTTTGATAAAATTTGCATACGAACTTGTTAGAATTGGTAGATAAACCTTTTAGTTTCTCTAAGATGTTATTGTCTTTAAATTGTAGATTTTGGGTAGAAAAAGTAAACCCAGAAGCTAGTTATATGGTAATTTAGAAGATTTCTCTGTGTATATGTATATGTGTCTCTGTGTGTGTGTGTGTGTGAGAGAGAGAGAGAGAGAGAGAGAGAGAGAGGGAGAGAGAGAGAGAGAGACTCTGTGTGTGTGTTTATGTATGAATTGTTATGGCATGGTGGTTCTATTGGATTCTTTTTTTTATTTTTTATTTTTTTTGAGAATGTTATTATTCTGTATTGTAGATTTTGGGAAGAAAAGCAAACCCAGAAGCTAGTTATATGGATATTGAGAAAAGTTTTTACAAGAACAAGGGTAAAATTGTAGAGATAAAGGAAGTACCTTTTGATGGGGCCAAGGAAGTTCAAACCAGCCAAGAAAAGGAGGTACCTTTAGATGGGCCTAAGGAAGTTCAGTCATCTAGGTCATTGGATGGTGTGAACTTGGTCCGACCGGTGCCAAAGAAAGGAGTTAAATTTGAAGTGGATGATAAGCCAAGAGTGTCGCTGAATAAGAACCTGAGACGCCCAGTTTCCAAGCCCGTGGAACCTACTAAACGTAGTGTTCCTAATGTTATTTTGAGAAAGCCGACTTTGTTTAATGAGGATGACGTTGAAGATATGCCTTCAAGGTTGCAAATTAAACCGAATTTGTCCTTGAAGATGAGGATTAAGCAACCAAAGGAGAAGTTTAGTGATATGACATTGTTGAGAAAACCGCAACCAGTGAGTGTTGATGAAAGTAGCGAAAATAAACAAGAGCAATCTAGTGATGCGGATAAGAATGTCATTGGTGACGCAGAAATGGAGAAGTGGAGAGAAGAAAATGATAAAGTTAGTGGTTTTACTTTATTAGAAAAACCCAAAGCAACTGGCGTCATAACAAAGAGTGAAGATGATAATGAGCAACCTGAGAATGGCGAATCTAGTATCGTTGATACTGTTGAAGATAATGATAGCTCCAAGGATTTGTCTGAATTTACTGCAACTAGCACAACAAGAAACAGTCTTGAAGAATCCAAAGATGGTCCTGGTCAAAAGGATGACACCCTTATAGGTACTACTCTATGTTGCTTTATAGAATTTCTTCAGCTAGGATTGTCAAATTAATATTGTGCTCGAAATTTTAAGGATTGCAGCCATATGAGCAGAGCACTATGGAGTCCAGTGAGGAGGTATCTGGTTCGAGTGAACTGTCTGATACAAGCTTACCTGTTTCTAATGTTGACTTGACGATGGACACTGCATTACAAGGAAAACCGAAAAGGTAAATGAAAGGAGTTTCAAATGTTTATGTCTCAACTCTAAGTTTATATTTGGCCTGATTAGCAGGTTGTTTTCTTATAGATTAAACAAACCTGTTAACGATGAAGAGAGCATTTTTGTTGGCTCTGAAAATATGCGAGAATCACTAATTGAGGTCAGTGCTTTTTTCACATTTAACTCGGATTTTTCCTTAACTTGAATTTTTTTCTGTTACAAAAAATTCATATTCTATAAATCTATAGGGTCATGAAGATGCTGATTGGGTTATGGCTGAAAATATGGTTAAAAAAGGAGACAGGGGAGATGTAGAACTGATAAGTGCTAGCACCAGGGGTTTTGTTGTAAGTACACTTTGGACAGCCATTTCATAGGCTCCTAGTTGTTCTGCACTGTTTTTTATTAACCATATTTACTTTCCATCTACACTTTGGACAGCCATTTCATAGGCTCCTATTTGTTCTGTACTGTTTTTTATTAACCATATTTACTTTCCATCTGACCTTTCTGAGTTTGAGTTTACCTTTACGACAGGTATCTTTCCGCTCTTTAATTGGATTTCTGCCATACCGTAATCTTTCTTCCAAGTGGAAGTTCTTAGCTTTTGAGTCATGGTTGAGACAGAAGGGCTTAGACCCGTCATTGTACAGGCGAAATCTAGGAATTATTGGAAGTTACGATATGGTGGAATCAAATACTCTTCCTAATCCAAGCCTAGAAGATCCTGATACAGATACAAAAAGTGAGGAAGTAGTTTCGCCAGATATGAAATTGGAAGACCTTCTTACGATTTATGACCAAGAGAAAATCAAATTCTTATCATCATTTGTTGGCCAGGTTTGAAGAAAGTGACCTGAATTAGAACATTACTGCTGCATTTGGAAACATCAGTGTCATCATTTATTCCTTTAAATTAATTTTTGGAAACTTAATTTTGTAGAAAATCAGAGTACAGGTGGTGTTGGCCAACAGAAAGTTTGGGAAGCTGGTATTTTCAGTGAGGCCAAAAGAGAAGGAAGAGTCGGTTGAGAGAAAAAGAAGTCTCATGGTGAGAAGGCGGCCACTTTCATTTTTGATGTATCTTGAATGCTGTTTGTTTTTCCTTTATTCTTTTAGTATTCTTTTTAAGCTACAGTATTTGGTAACAACTATTTCCATTTCTGTATTTAAGAGATCATCATGTTCAACATTTTCCGAAGAGTCGAAGACTAACCAATTTTTTTATTGTTAAGGGTGGTGGAAAAGTGTTTGTGTGTGTGTATAAACTTCCTGAAGCTGATTGTGAGAAATCAGTTTTTTATATTTTGTTTTTAGTATGTAAGGACTACATTTCTGGTTGGAACCTGGGAAAGGGAATTGGTCTCTGGAAATTAATTAATATGATTTCTGGTATATGCTATATGTGTAAGTTGATTAAAATGATTTCTGGTTGGAACCTGAGCAAGAACATATCCTTTCCTCCCAAAATTGGAACTTATTAGTTCATCCAAATATATTTGTAAGTTGGTCTGAAAAATCTCTTTTACGTAGGTGATTCTTATATAACTGAGAAGCAATCTTGTCACTAATATATTAAGTGTCTGAAGGCCATGTTCTCTCGAAAGCTTATTGTACAATTCCGAGTATGAACTATGTTGTTTTAGACTCTTATGGTAATTCTTATGGCAGGCAAAACTTCAAGTTGGAGATGTCGTGAAATGCTGCATCAAGAAAATTACTTATTTTGGTGTTTTTGTTGAGGTAACTGAAAGGTTTTCCGCTCATTGTCTCTGGAAGTGGAAAAATACTTTACTCGGTTGTTGTGATATCACAGTTTTTGTTCCACTATGAGATTTTTTGTATGTATAAGTTATTCAAAATAATCTGTTGATGGATTGCCTTGCTACCATCTGGCTTTGGCACAATTCTTTGTGCTATATTTCATTAGTTTAAGGGTCCTGAAAATGGAGCCAAGACTGGGATACCTAGTTTTTCTCACAAAAATGAACCTAGTTAAAATTTATGTAGGTTGAGGGAGTGCCTGCATTAATCCATCAGACAGAAATATCTTGGGACGCTACTGTGGATCCCTCTTCTTACTTCAAAGTTGGCCAGGTAATTTGGTCAATGATCAAACTGTAGGATACTATTTCAAATTCAGTCTATTCCACTGAAGTTTGTGATTTGTACTTAGTTCGTTAGCAACTTTTAGAGTTTCAGTGTTTCTTACTGTTTTGCTACTTTCTCTCTGCATCTTGTTTATCACATAAAGAAACTCTTTCTGATCTCAGATTATGGAGGCAAAAGTTTACCAACTGGATTTTGCACTTGAACGTATCTTCTTGTCATTAAAGGAGATATTGGTAATGTATATCTTATGGATTTTGTAAGCACACATATCTAATTTTGATTGATGAGATATTCAATTACTAAGAAAGATTCATTCGTGTTTTTTGCAGCCAGATCCATTGATGGAAACCTTGGAGTCTGTGGTTGGTGATCGTGATAGTTTAGATGGGAGATTAGAAGCAGCACAAGCAGATACTGAGGTTTACTTATTTTTGTTCACATGTTGAGTGGGATATATTAGTCTAGTTACATCATCATACTTGTGGACAGCATAGCGCATACTTGTAATGTTTATATGCTAACGCCAGCTTTAGTTAAGAATAAGAGAAATCAAATGCTTTTTCCAAAACTAAAAATCAAAAATAGAAAATAAATGCATAAACCATAAAGCAGTTAACAGATTTTGTTTAGAGTGGAAGACATTTGGGAATTTTGTTGTTGCAAGGATTTAAATCAGCAAGAACAGATTTTGTTTAGAATCATGCCATGACATGAACAAGAAAGTAGCATGTTTTATGTATTTTTTCCTTTTTGGTATAGAATGTGATTTATGGTGATAATTTAATTTGCTATTGTACTTAATCTATATGTGATCATGCATGAATCTAATTTCACTTGTCATATGTTTATCTCTTTGATGAAAAAAAAATAGAAGATGTAACCTCAATGATACTATTATACGTATGTAAACTATCTGGTAACTTCATGAGCTGACTCTATATATGATGTTTCTATTGCATATCAACACGTTATCTGATTCAATAGTTTTGACAGTGGGCTGCTGTCGACTGTCTTATCAAAGAGCTGCAACAAACCGAACGAATCCAGTCTGTCTCAAAAGGTCGCTATTTCTTGAGCCCAGGGTTAGCTCCAACATTTCAGGTACGAACACCTAACATTTCTTGATCAAGGTTAAGGTTGATAGAAAGCAGGGTACGATTATGTACTTTAAATTGCACTGTCATGTAATTTGCTTGATCAAGGTTAATCACCAAACTTTTAGATTTATGACTATTGGTTATGAATTTGTTGCTGTGTCTAGTAATCTAAATTTGTATGTGGGAACGTATTTAGGGATTTTATAATTTTACAGAATAAAAACGTACCTTGTTTCTCATTTGAAAGACTGTAAGGTAACATGACTATGGTGCATGGTTGATGAGTTTGTTCAACAGACTGCACAAATGCTTAACAATGTGTTGTAACCAATACATTAATTGTTCAAGGAATCTGATTCGGTTGGGAGTCTATCCCTTTCTAATGCTTTTTGTGTTGTATTAGTATGCTGGAAAATGTCTCTTCTTTGACCTGGACTTCTTAGCGTCATGTTTTTGCTAGAAAAACTAGTTCAGCTTATATTTGTCTAAATCTGTGTCCACTTCTTCAAAATAGTTTACTTATCTTGCCGAACTCAAATATCTGCTTTGGATCTATCTTTTCAATGCAGGTTTATATGGCATCCATGTTTGAGAATCAGTACAAGTTACTTGCTCGATCGGAAAATAAAGTACAAGAGGTGAGTTGTGGAAACCACAGCAGTTTTGCCTTCAAGGCTTCAGTTACTATTTTCCTTTTTTATTCCTTAAAAAAAAAAAGAAAAAAACAATGCTTATCTCAATCTAATTATCTTGCTTTTAAGGCATTAGAAGTGCTTATTAAAAAGCAAGCATTTTAGTGACTTTAGAGCAAAGAATCAATTATCGATTGCATTACTCTTTTTTTTCAGGTAATAGTTCAAACTTCACTGGACAAAGAAGAGATGAAATCTGTGATTCTAACATGTACAAGCAGGGTAGGCTAGTTCTGTTCTTATCCGAGTTGTAAGTGCTGCGAGTGCAGTTTCGTTCTTGATAGGCATCATTTGGAATTTTGTAAAGGTAGAAAAGGAAATTGTTTCCATGGCGGGGAGGATTGAAATTGTTTCTTCATTTTGTAGAGATGGGGATCTGTAAATCCTCCAAGCTATAATTTAGAGTTATTAGTTTATGAATGCAGAAAGCTCCTTTTCCTTTCTATTGTATCTCCTTTTTTATCTTTGGGGATCCAAATCCAAGTTTGGTACTAATTTAGGATTGGTTTGGTATTGTTGTGCTTGAAAAAAAAACTGTTTCTGCTGTACTATGAGAATAAGCAGCTGTGAAATAAAGCAGTAGAGTGTTTGGTAAACATTTTTGTAAAAGTGCTTTTGGAAAAAAAAGCAGTATTATAGTGTTTGTTATACTTTTATGTAAAACAGTTGTGGCTCTGTGAAATGATTAAGAAGGGTATAATACTAGATATGTCATTAATTTAATTTTCTTAACAAATAAAGGTGAATTACTAATATACTTTATTTTTAAAAGAAAAATATTTATAACATCTTTGAGTGCAATTGCAATCTCATACATCTTTAAAACATTTCAATCTTATACATTTACTTACATTTTCATTACAATTTCATACTTCTGTTAAAAATTCTGTGAAGTTTACAGTTAACTGATGATGTGGCAATTAAATTTTTCACATAGATAAAAAAAAATTATAAGATAAATCAATATGAAAAAATATGTAATTTTTTTATGTTAAATGGGCCCACCCCTTCAATGTGCATCTGTAATTCTGCATTTCTATCTCCATTTGACTCCATTACGAGAGAGATCATTGCCCAAGCATCATCTCTGTCGTGATCATCGACCATCACACAGCCATCACCACCACTACAGCATCCTTGAGCCGTTTCGCCGCTATGGTGCTCCCGTCGTTCAGCACCACCTCGTACACCGCCCCCAAGTTCTCTTTCCCCGACATCTCTATCAACACCCACATCAAATCCTCCAACTCAAGTTGCTGCCTTCGGTAAAAAAACACTAGCTTGCTTCTGTTGAAATTGAGAAAATATTGAATCTTTGCTGTAGTGGAATCGAAGCTTGGCAACCAGATGAAGCCAATTCAAATCTCGAAAGTTCATAACGTTGATTGAGATTGGAAGTTGTGGTGGGGGTTCAAAAAGGGGTTGCAATCAAATTATATAGGAATTTTGATGTGGCAGGAGGTGGAGGTTTGAGCTGGGAATGAAGTTCCAGGTTGGGGATTGGGTTTGGGGCGATAAGTTGGGAGCGAACGAGTGAGACGGGAGGGAGAGAACCAGTGAGATGCAGAGTAAGGAAGAAGATGACGCGAGAGGTGAGGGTAGGATCGGCATATGCAAACTTTCATTAAACATTACTGTTCACCTGTGTTTCTAAAATAAAAAGTTGGTTTTTGAAAGCAGCAAATAGCTGCTTCCATTTTTCAACTGTTTCTCGCAATAATTTTGAAAATAAGTGCTTTGTTGTTGAGTTACCAAACACAATATTGAGCTCAACTTTTTTTCATTCCTGGTTTTAAAAAAAATTTAAGCAGTACCAAACTGGTACTTAGTTGACACACCCCGACCGAAATCAAGGCGTGCTGGCTGTCACGTGAGAGTGACGTAACCCTGTGCACAGTTCGAAAGTATAAATAATAATAGAAAAGCGAATAAATAAAAACCAAACTACTAGATAAACTGGTTAAAGTAATACACTAGTGTAAGACTAAGTGTGATAAATATAATCAGAGCACAAAAAGCCTAAGTGCAGTCCAGTAGGATGAATACTAATTACACAACACCCAAAAGTGATCCTACATTTATGTTGTTCTGTCAGAACCACCGTCAAAGTCCTTGTGAGCCACCAAAGCGCTTCTACCTAAAACCTAGAGGGGCGCAAAACAGAAAGTGTGAGTGGGCAAAAACAAAACTTTTCAAAATCATTTCATTCTCAAAAGTTCTAACCCCTCTCCGTAAAACCTGTATAATTTCCCAGAAAATAGAATACACACACACACACACACACCCCAACCATGCTCAGAATAGCAACATTCACAAATATGCCATGTCAAATATCTCAGCATAAATATGAAAATCAGGTGATATTAATCAATGCAAATGATATGTCAGCCAGAGTCACTTAACGTGACCTGTACTGCTGAATCTAGAGCTTAATCCACATCTCAACAACTATACTTGCACACGAGTCGGAACCACCTAAGTGGTCTGTACGACAGGACTAGGTGTAAATAAATACGCTCAAGTGCTACGATCACGTGAAAACTGTGTGAATAATCGCGGGTCACCTACGAATCGGAACCACCTATAGTGGTCTGTAGGACAGGACTGTGCACCTAACTTGGATCCAAGATGAGCGTATGGTGCGGGAGGTGAACATCACATGAAGGACCGTGCCCTAACTCTGGGCGGGAGCACTAACACCGTGGTGCAGGTTTATGAGCTCTCAATGCATCTCACATAACCACTAATTCACAATCATAAACTATAAACTTAACTGGAACTTACATGTGCGTCCACAGCACTAAACATACATATATGCAACTACTAATGCATAAATAAATAGGCAAACACTTTGCATGGCATTTGAAAACATATAAACATTCAATTTCATTTTTTGGGAAAACTCTCAAGTATATAGGTATATACGGAAAGCCAAAAGCCCACTCACTGGTATGTGGAAGAGTTGTAGCCCCCGAGCCTTGAGTGACTGCGCTCGTCCTCAAGATAGGTCTCACCTATATGCGAAACAACTATAAAAACGTCAATTTAAAGCACATAACCAAAACTAGGTAATAACTTCTCATACAATGCTTAAATAGGGTGCTTGAATATACCAACGTGATCTACTCAACCTCATAAACATCCTCATATTTTTAAAATAATTTTCTGACTACCCACGCGCAGCCACGCGCCAGCCAAGGCACAGCCAGACTCGCCGGCCACGCGCAGGAACGTGCCTGGCACACTGACGACGGTAGTTAACGTCGTTGGGAATATTCCGTTAAAACTAACCTAACACCGTTACTATCGTTATGAATATTCCGTTAAAATTAACAAAATATTCCCCTTTCTTATCTGGCTAGCCGTCGGACTCCGTCGCCATCGTCGGAAAACTGGGAAAAACTTTCATTCGTCAAATCTCACTCATTTCTCAACCAAAATTCACGAATTTTGTATGAAGATGAAGCTTACAAAGAGTAGAACAAAACCTTACCACTTTGGGGACTTAAAACCAACGGAATCTCACCAGAAAAAACCCACGATATTTCAGCCAAACCTGCAACTCACTGAAACTAGGCTTCCCGACGTCCAAAACACTTCAACTTTCTTCTCCGAGCTTCGTGAGAGTGTTCTAAAACTCCCTATGACCTTAAAAACTCCTAAAAACTTCACGATCATGTGTGCATGAACAATGCATGAAATCTGGGATTAAGGTTCTCGAGGTTTTCGAAGGTTTCAAGTCTCACAAATGGTATGGATGTACTCAGGAGCTTGCCAAGAACTCAAAGACACCAATTAAAACCTCAATCTGTGAATGGTTTATGGTGTTCAAAGGTTGTCTGTAAGGTTTGTACAGAAAAATTTCAGAAAATCGAAAGAGGAAGAAAAGAGAGAATGCACGGGTGTGACTGTATATGTTTGTGTGGTCCTAGTTGAGTCAACAACCAAAAGAAACAACTAAACAACACCCCACAACGGCAACTAACATCCAAGGGAAATTTAGTCTTCTCACACCTACGGTGCAAATAATTCGAGACGGACTGTTACAACCTACCCCTCTTAAGAGAATTTCATCCCTGAAATTACACAACTACCACAACTCAAACACTAGTAATCATAAAACAAGCATGGATACAACTCTCTCATCCGGTCATCTGTCTCCCAAGTAACCTCCTCCATTGAGTGATTCATCCACTAAACTTTCACTAAACTCACAGTTTTGTTCCTCAGAACCTTTTCTTTCCAATCCAAAATCGTTACTGGTTCCTCATCATATGTCAAATCCGGATTTATTTCCAATGGTTGAGGAGGTATCACATACGACGGATCCGCAAAGTAATGACAAAGCATAGACACATGAAAAACATTATGCACTTTAGCCAGCTCAGAAGGCAACTCAAGCCTGTAAGCAACTTCACCAACTCACTCGGTGATCTGATATGGTCCGATGTACCTGGGACTTAGCTTGCCTTTCTTTCTGAACCATACTACACCTACCCACGGTGATAACTTCAGAAACACCCAATCACCAACTTTATACACCCTGTTAGTGGCATGCCTATCCGCTAAGCTCTTTTGTCGATCCTGGGTCGCTTTCAGGTTAGACTTAATTACCTGAACATTCTAAGTAGTTTCATCTACAATCTCGGAGCCCACCAAAACTCTTTCTCCGATCTATGACCAACGTAAAGGTGTACGACAAGATTTACCGTACAGTGCCTCCAAAGGTGACATGCCTAAACTTGAATGAAAGTTGTTGTTGTAGGAAAATTCCATTAAATCTAACTGCTTGTGCCAAGCGTCACCAAATTGCAACACCGAAGATCTCAACATATCCTCCAATGTCTAAATGGTCCTCTCTGATTGTTCGTCTATCTGAGGATGATATGTCGTACTATATAGTAATCTCAAACCCAAAGCTTCCTGAAAAGCTACCCAAAATTTAGAAGTAAATCTAGGGTCACGATCCGAGACAATATTCATTGGAACTCCATGGTACTTCACAATATTCGATATGAATAATTTAGCTAATCGGCTTAAAGAATATTTCTCCGTCACTGGAATAAAATGCGCTGACTTAGTAAGCCGATCAACTATCACCCAAATGGCATCATAACCATTATGTGTACGATGAAGCTGTACACAAAATCTATAGTAATGTTTTCCCATTTCCACTGTGGAATGGGAAGCGGCTGCAACAACCCAAACGGCTTTTTCCTTTCAACTTTAACCTGTTGACAAATGGCACACCTACTCACATACTCAGCTATCTCTCTTTTCATACCCGACCAATAATAAAATGGTCGAATGGTATGATACATTTTAGTACCAGCTGGATGCATTGCATAAGCTGAGATATGCGCTTCATCAAGAATTGCTTTCTTTAATTCCAAATTATTCAGCACATACATTCTACTCTCTTGTATAAGCATGCCATCAGACT